ACACGGAGGCCACGGCCTTTCTCCCCGGCTGCAAACACTTCCACAGGATCCATCTTTTCCACGGTCATGGTGACAGACTGTTGTCCGCTACGGTTGAGGGAGGAACTGCCGTTCCCAGTGCTTACCTTCCCATCCACCCTGTCCACTCCCCACAGCATGGCTAAAAATAGAGCTGCTCCTTTCCTGCCGTCAAACAGCAGATACAGTGAGGAGAAGTGCTGTTACTGGCATGAAGGAAGCAAACCAAGAGAACATGGTTGGAGCCCCAGGAGTATTTTTGTCCGTCAGCTGTGTGTGCTCATCATGGGGAACATGAGCTGACAGAACCGGACTGACTGTGTCAGTGAAAGCTGTTAAATGCTGGAGTTGATAGTGTGAGGGAATACAGATGAGCATTGGAGTTCAGAAACTGATATAGTACATCATTCGTTTACCTTCATCCATCATCACTCACATGATCTTTGAATAAGGGTTCAGCCTAATGTCATTTCCATCACATCTCAAACCATCATTCATTCAGTGGTGGAAATGACATGTTAAATATTTGTAAATGTTGCACCTGCTCTGAATGGTTATGTAACATAAGTGGCTGACTCCAAAGGCTAATTTCGTAGCTAACTTTTTTCACACATCACAAGTCCCATATTTTATTGAGAAACAAGTATATTCACATTAGAAACCGCTTTTTGGCTCACACTTTATATTAGGTGGCTTTAACTACTACTTTACCAGTACAACATACTTATTTTTTAAATGTTTGTGCATTGTAATTACATTTAAAGTACTTGCATTTCATTAACATTTGTAGTTACACTGTTAACTTTATCCCTAACCGTAACCCAAACCTATTATGCCACAAATCTAACTTTACATAACCCTAACTTTACTCCTAAACCTAACCATACCTCAAACTCATTAGCAGCAAACGTGGGAATTTTCCAGAAAAACATATACACAGTAAAACCATAGTTTAATTGTGATAACGGGGGGCTTAGATGAGGTCGTCACCATCTCAATAGCGGGAGTGTGTGAAGTCCTTTTTAAAATGCCATTTATGGTCCTGTGTTTCTTTACATTGTTAGTGTTCATGGTTTTATTGACTTTGGTGCGGTTTATTAGGCTTACGTTTCAATTATGTTTAATCCAGTACATTATCTTCTAATATTCATTTAGAATACAGGTGGTTAAGATATTATATTTGTGTTGAATCCTGACAGGTGCACATGTCAGAGGTCAGCGCAATGCTAATGTCTACTACAATTTTCCAAAGATGTATTGACCCTCATTAACCACACAGAGACAGGTTGTACTTATGTATTTTTTTTTATTATTTATTAGTTCAAATCTGTGTCAAGTCAAGTCACCTTTATTTGTAAAGCGCTTTATACAATACAGATTGTGCCAAAGCAGCTTTACAGTGTCAAACAGGAAAACAGTTCGTCAATAATGCTAGAAGACAATAACAAAGAGTCATGTTTCCAGCTAAAGTCAGTTGATGATTCAGTGATGTCATCATCTAGTTCAGTTCTCTTCCAATAGTGTCTGTGCAATCAGTCAAGCGCAGTGGTGGACCAAGTACACAAATCAAGTACTTGAGTAAAAGTATACTCAATTATAATCCGTATAATAAAATATTACTCCAGTAAAAGTAAAAGTACTCAGTTTTTAATTTTACTCGAGTGAAAGTACAAAAGTACTTGATTTTTTATGTACTTAAGTAAAAAGTACAGATAGATGAATGTTTATTTTGCCGTTTTATATAGGAGTATTATTTACGATAATTTACGATTTTCATTTTATTTACGAGTTGAACGCACATGAACGCCACCACAAAGTCGTTATTACGAGTGGGAAACTCGAAATTTTCTTTAAGCCCCGAGTTTCCGAGTTGGGGGCGTGTCAGTGAGAAAACGTGTCGGATGCAATGGACGCACGCATCCAAAGACTAGATATGCAGCATCTGTATTGATGGTAAATTTGTTGAAATTAATAAAATTATTATTTTTTTGTAATGTAAAATAAAACTATATGTTACATATACAAAATATTATATTATTGTATAATTACCAAAGAACATATAATGATTCAGTTTACATCACCTTCATAAATTGAATAAAAACAGAAAAAAGCAAAAACACAATGACGCACATTCTTTATTCCTCATTTTGTAGATGTAAAGTTTAAAAAATCGTTGAATTTTATGGAAAAAAAGTTCCATAAAATCAAAGTGACTTGATGTCATTATTACGATTTCTCAACTCGTAAGTACGAACGTCCCAGGAGGACTTGAACTCAGCATAAAGCTATGTGTGCTGACAAACAATATAAAAACAGACGTCACATAGGGCTAAATGCATAGCATTTTAGTAAAACTGCTAACTTTACAGCAGCGGGGAAGATGAACGTGTATGAGTTATTTTATTTAATCTGTGTTATTTTAATGTTTTACCTCAGAGTTGTCGACTCGAGAACAGCTGCAATCGGATCATTCTAATTCATGAATGAATCGTTTGGTGCGATTTGCGAACCGATTTAACGGGTTCAATGAAAAGAATCAGTTCGTTCATGAATCAGACACCGCTTCTGCGGTGTCTTATAAGGAGTAACGAAAAGTTTTATGAAATGTAGTGAAGTAAAAAGTAAGATCTTATGCTTTGGAATGTAGTGAAGTAAAAGTAAAAGTTGCTCAAAATAAAACTAATCCAGTAAAGTACAGATACTTGAAAAATGTATTTAAGTACAGTAACGAAGTAAAACTACTTCGTTACTGTTCACCACTGGTCAAGCGGCCCCAACTAAGCAAACCAAAGGAGACAGCGGCAAGGAACCAAAACTCCATCGCTAACAGAAATGGAGAAAAAACCTTGGGAGAAACCATGCTCAGTCGGGTGCCAGACGAAACCAGCATGGCGTGTCTGTTTCAATACTGTGAATAGTTAGCTTACATGCTGTCTACTCACCATATCCTGTTCCTGTGACTCTTCCAAGGAGGGTGCAGGACTACAGCTCCCCTTTTTCTGGTGTTGGGTAAAACCATGACAACTAGTAGGGGAGGGAACTTAACTTTTGGTGATATGGAAATGAAGAGATGTTGTATGGTGTGGCGGTGAGGACTCGGGAGAGAGGGGTTACATTGGTGCCGTAACCCGGATGGGAGTGAGGTTTAGGGGGGTGAGTGTAACGGAGGCCAGCGGTCGGTGCTGTGCAGGTAAACCTCACTCCCCTGATCTCGAGACGCACTAGAGACTGATGCTAGTGGCTGCAGTCTTTAGCCTCCTTGTTACTGCGTCCGCCTCCCATCCCGGAGACCCGGGTTCAAGACCCACTCGGAACGAGAACGAGGTGTGGCGGTGAGGACCCGGGAGAGAGGGGTTACATACACACTCAAAAGTGTGTAATTTTTCTTCACCAAAAGAGTACATACTTTAAGGGCATAGTATAAGTAGGCACATTGAGACGCAGCATGAGTAAAGTTTGCTGCTTGTAGCAATATATTTTTCATGTATATGTGCCACTTACAGACTGTCACCAAAACTGTGTTCAAAGAGCAAAATAATCAAAAACAGGGTGGGAATCTTCCAGAAAAACATGTATATACACAGTAAACCCATAGTTTAATGTCACCTAATATAAAGTGTGGACCATGGTTTTTGACTAAAACAATTATTTTGTGCAGATAAATCCATGTAAATGTGCCACTTGCAGACTGTCCAAACTGTGTTCAAAGAGCAAAATAACCAAAAACAGGCTGTTTTACTCTTACAGGACATTTACGCTTTTAGTGGCACCAATACACCAAACGTATTAGCAGTAAATGTGGGAATTTCCCAGAACAACATGTAGTTAGAAAATCCAGTTTAATGTTGGTATCTAATTTGAACAGGGTTGAATAGCACTGCTCTCAGCCACTAGATACTGAAATAACTTCCACTGTACCATCTGATCACACGTATTTTTGTCTTATTTGCCAGGCTAAATGTCTGGTTTCTTAAATCAAGATACATTTACTGGAGAACCTAAATCACTTTGGTACTCCAAGAAGTCTTGTTTTCTAAGAAATTTATCACAATTAAGTGAGTATATCATTTAAAAAGAACAAATACCTGCCAGTGGACTCGTAAAAATCAACTTAATTCAAAGGGAAAACAGGTTTTCATTCCCCATTGACAGATATTTGTTCTTGTTTTAAACAAGAACTCTTTCTTTTTTTAATTCTCAGAAAACAAGACTTTATGTCTTCATTATAAATCTCAAGTAAATGTCTTGATTAAAGGATATTTGTATTGGAAAACAAGACAAAAATACTGAGGAAGATATATTTTTTTTAACATTTAATGCCATGACCTCTGATTTAAGACCTTTATGGCCTTAATTTGTGAAAGGTCGAATTAAGCCTTTTTAAGACCTTTAGAAATTATGGAAAGGCCCAAACAAAGCTGAAATCTGTAAAATCAACCACTCGGACATAAACATTCTACAGTTGAAGACGTTCCCAAGAATGATTTCTAAGAAATTAGGCCATTATGAAAGCAGCTCTAGGCGCTCCCTGACACAGAATGCTCCTTATTTGTCAGAGTTTACATGTACAGGGTTTACATCAGGTGTGTAAAATAGCTTCCAAACTTGATTGATTTTCGGAAAAAGTTCCATCACTCCAAACATCTGTGTATGCTTCGTCCAACTGTTTACAGTAGGAGTGCGGAAAGAGAATATGAGCAGAAGCATCCAGAGACACTGGACACAATCAACACAAACATGACAGAGAGAAACACACAGCATTTATTCCAGTGACGACAGCACTACCAGTAAAGGTCAAATGACTGAAATACAGAATCTGCAATATATAAAACCACAGAGAAGAAATGCAGACAGAACTCAGGCTGTCCTTGCAATAAGATGACTCACAATGCCATATTATTCATAATTATTATTACATTTTTATTCTTAATAATCAATCAAATACACACAAAACATTATAGAAAAACATTCTTAAAAACTACAAGTTATAGAACAAAAGATTATTTATTATTTTAAAAAATATGGCTAGCAATTTAAGACAAAGTGAACATTTTAGAATAAAATAGGCTACATCACATGGTCTGGACTTGGATAACGGAAGTAACACATTTATACATGGAAGCTTTCATGTAATCCAAAGTCTTTAGTCTATTTATGACATGGAAAAACAGCAGCAGCTAGAAAGATATCAGTAAACAATCATGAATTTGAACACATAATGAAGAATCATTTGGCAAACGATCACAAACAGAGAGCTTTCTTTTGGTCCAGAAGCAGATCTGACTGCTAGTAATTTAAAAGACAAATCCTCATTAAACCATTGCCTCTTTATGATGAATCGCTTGCTGTACTCCTCAATTGTAAATCACTTTGGATAAAAGCATCTGCTAAATGAATAAATGTAAATATTTGAAGCAGTTTCAATACACCAATACCAGTGGAGCTTATTGATAATTTTTCAAGGTATGATATCGAAGTTAGATATTCCAGTATCGTGACAACACAAGAACATATCAGACAGAAATTAGAGATCATTAATGACCCATAAATGAGATTCATTGGTTCATTTCAGAAAATAAGGTTCATTACATAGTGTCTGCTCTCAAATCAATCAATCAATCAATCATTAATCAAATGGGATGAACACTAGAGAATGAGTGGTTGTTTAAGGCACAAACTCTATAAATCATAGAAGTCCAGATGTGCTCCCGAGGGGTATTTGTCCTCCAGCAGGACCTTGATGAGTTTGTTGATGGACTGGTCACAGGTGAGCAGCTGACCCTGAGCGTGCATGACGCTGAACGAGTTCCTCAGAGCGTCGTCTGCAGAGCTGCTCCTCGCCTGCAGCTGCATGTCTGTGTCCAGAGGCCCTGCGGGACGCCACAATCCCACCATTAATGCACTTCAACACGTCACAGGATGAGCACATATACTTGCGAGAGTAAAATACAGGTGCTATAAAAGAGCTGAAATATTAGGAATCATTGTAGGCCTGCCAATGACATGAGTTTGTATCATAACTGAACAGTGCCACCTCTGTGTAACAAGCCCATGATGCATGTAAGATTGTAGTCAAACAGTTCATGAGTTTACACAAATCAAAACCAAAGCCTTTTCACAGTCACTAGGGTTGGGCGATGTCTACAGTGAAACATTGCGATGGACGATGACATCGGCGGGGGCGGGGGTGTGCCCGAAGCGTAAATCCTTATAAGGCACGGAAAACAAATAACGATTCCTAACACTGTGTCTACACCGGACACGAGCGGCGCGGCACGACAAAATACTATAGAACCACTATATATAGATCAGTGTATAGAACTTATTATAATCAGTGATGCTGTCTACACTGGTGCTGGTGTCCAGACATTTTACCCGTCAGATTGTCCTAGGGTTTACTGCGCATGCGCACATCAATATTGTGTCCTTTAAATCATGCTGAACAACATTTAATGTATCTGCATTACTGTAAGGGTAGGTTTAGGGTTGTGGTAGATGTAGACTTTAATAAAACACAATCTAATACGTAGAAAAAAATATTTATTGTTGGTTTCCTGTAGCTTTATCCCTTCTAGCTACAACCGCAAATATAACACATAATTACTGTATTTGCATTACTGTAAGGGTAGGGTTAGGGTTGTGGTAGGTGTAGACGTTAATAAACCATAATTTTATAGGTAGCATTTTTAGTTGTCGAATTGTACTACCCACTGTTTTAATGGGAGGTAGCAAAATCTGACGGGGTAGCACAAATCGACAGAACACCGGCTCAACATCGTGATGTCTATCAGCCATCGGCGATGGATGATGCCATCATCTATCGGCCCAACCCTAACAGTCACACTACATTTCACAACCATTTTCTGGCACAGTGCATGCATTTTTGCTCTGGAGAACAAAATGGCCAGAAAATCTAAAAATATGGTTTCCCATTTTGTAGCGAGTATAACTTTTTTAAAGATTTAGAGTCAAATAAAAATATTTGTATGATATTGGGAAATTGCTTAAGCTTTGTTTTATAAATACATGAAAAATGCAAATACATTATTGTGTATTTTATGTTTATGGTCAAATGATTAACATGCACAACAAAAGCATTCTTGCTTGTGTCACATTTTTAGTGTTCTGACATCAGTGAATCAATCACTTCATATCAGTACAAATGTATGGTAGGCAATTTCTGCCACAGAATAAAAAAAACAACTGCAAATTTTTTCTTACAATTGTAAGTTTACATTTGGCAATTCTGACTTTTTTTCTTGCAATTCTGAGTTCATATAAACAGAATTTTGTTCTGCTATGGAACAAAAAATAAGGATCATTTCAAGTTTATTTCTCACAATTCTGACTTAATTCCTCAAAATTGCGAGATTACATCTCACAATTCAGAATTTATACAGACTTTTTACAGAGTTTATATCTTGCATTTCTGTTTTTTTTTTTTCTCAGAAATATACACAAAAAAGTCTGTGAGACATAAACTCAGAATTATGAAAGAAAAATACTTAAAAAAAATGTTTTTTTAAAACAAGCTTCCATAAATTCAGTGTCAGTGACTTATTCCTGTCTGGTAGGGTGACCATACGGGCCATTTTTACGGGACGCACCCTTGCCAGGATTTCTATATTGCCTAAAATATCCAGGTTTTGGCTTTTTGCACTGTGCAGATCGATCGTTGTATGACATTATTTCACGAGTGCTATAGAGAGCAGAGCAGACGGCTCCTTATGCTTTCAAATCGCTCTCGCGGTACTTTGGTGTCATACAATGATCGGTGCGCAGCTTCAAGTCGAACGAACGAACAAACACGTGCGCGTATTTGCATCGCTTTGATTGTTCTCACCTTCTCACACGCAACGCGCCACGATTGGTCGATTATGCACAATACCTGCATGTTATTGGTCAAACTACTTTGGATGTTTTAGGCAATATAAAAATCCTGGCCAGGACGTGTCCCGTATAAATGGCACATATGGCCACCCTACTGTCTGGTCATCATACCCGGCGCATAGTTCAGGACTCTGAGATCTGGTTCTTCCTCTGCCAGCACGCGGAACATCATGTCCCGGGCCGCTTTCCCGCTGCAGTACAGAACCCAGGATGGGAAGGGCTGGAGTGCGCACAGCGAGCTGACATTGACGATGACGCGCGTCAGGCCAGTGCGCTGTGGGAACATGCGCAGAACTCCCGCGGTCAGACAGAGAGCAGAGCTCACATTCAGCGACAGGTACGAGTTCACCTCATCCACATCCGTGAAATCATGACAGTACCGCGACACATCCCCGAGAGAAGCTGCGTTCACAGGACACAAGACACACTCAGCTCATATTACAGCATGATAAAGTGACTGTTCACCCAAAAATGAACATTTGCTGTCAATTTACTCACCCTCAGATCATCCAAGATGTAGATGACTTTTTTTCTTCAGTAGAACAGTAAAGAAAATGTTTAGCTGAAGTTGTGGTCCTTGGTGATTCATAAAATGCAAGTCAATAGCTACTGGCCCTTTAAGCATATCAGGCAACACAAAATTAATACCCGTGGCTTCTGACAATATACGGAGGTATGTGCAAGAAATGGAATATTATTTACAACATTATTACCTGTAATACAGAGCCTCAGGCAAACAGTACAGAGTGATGTACGTACGGTTCACAAACAAATAATTATTTTGAACCGGGTAATTTTTGTGAACTAGTTGAACCAGTTCACCAAATCGGACTTACTCAATCAAAACTTTCAGATGTGCCTGACAGTCACTCTGACTGGAAATGAGCCAAAATACTGGAGTATGTGAGTCCTGCAAGTCACCTATAGGTGATAAAGACCCGCAAATCTGTGGCCACAGAACAACAAAATATGAACGCAATAAGCAGGGGCGCCGCTAGCAATTTTGGGCCCTATGAAAGAATATGAGGTTGGGCCCCCTATGCCGCACCAAACATACACTATATTGCCCAAAGTATTGGGAAAACTCAATAAAACTCAAAAAAACTAATCGCCAAACACCAATGACTTGTACATATGTGTACAATCATTTTAGACACTTCCAAAACTGTGGCAAAAAAGATGGAAATACAATTTTTAAATACATACATGTTCTAAAGAAGGGGGTGTCCCAATACATTTGTCCATATGTATGTACAAGTCAAAGGTGTTTGGTGATGAGTTTTTGGCTCAAGGTCAGCATTTAAAGTCACACCAGAGGTGTTCAGCTGGGATTAGGACGTGGCTTTGTGCAGACCAGTCAAGTTCTTCCACACTGACTGAATCAATCTTTTTTTTTAACCTTGCCTTATACACAGAGGCATTGTCGTGTTAGAATAGAAAAGGGTCCTGTTCAAACTATTGGTATAAAATTAGAAGCACACAATTCCCTAGAATAGCATTATATGCTTAAACATTAAGATTTGTACTCGTGGAAATGACTAAAGTAGTCAAACCTGTTCATTAGAAGGGGGTGTCCCAATACTTTGGGTAATATAGTGTATGTTTGGTGCGGTAGGGGGCCCAACCTCATATTCTTTCATAGG